GAGAAGAGCCAATCTCCTTCTCCACAATGGCCATCTTCCCTCTCTCTCACTTGTAACCCTTCAAGTATCTTATGAGTAGTTATTCTGATTACCTGAATCCACTGCTCTCTAGGATAAAGTCTCCTTTTTCTTAATTAGTTTCAAAGGTCAAGTTGCTAAGAACTAGCCTAATCCTAATTATCTTCTCCACATCACCACTGGTCAACATCTCGCTTAAATCTAGATGTGTCTCAGTCCATGCAGGTTGCAGAGGAGCCATAACCTTCCTTCCCACAGAAACTGACACATTCTGGTGCAGACTGAGCCTGCCTCAAATCTGTCTAGGCAGAACCAGAGTACTGAGCACATGGCTCACCAGGAATCCCTGGGCATTGGCAGTAGAACTGTACCTCAATCAGGTAAGACACACACAGACTTGCTTGTACACAAACACACAGGGTCCTTACACTCTCAGGGCCGTTGGCCTTTGAATTTCCTTACTACATCTACTATCTCTATCTGGTCCTCTCCATGGATGATGCAGCCAGGAACTCAGGAGACTGTGTGTGTGGAAGACAACCTCAGGTGTGGTAGCGTCCAGGAACCTGCAGCTGTTGATGTAGGGAATACAAAAGGCCAATGAGGGGAGGATAAGTCACCAAGGTAGGGAACAGAGGAAAACAAGTTGACTTGCCCCACACCCCTGCAGGTTAAGAGAAACATTGCTCTGTTCTCCCAATTCTTGTCCCAGAATCTGACTTCTTTCACTTTAAGGCTGTAAGACCTAGGTGCAGAGTTCATGTATGTCCTCTTGAAAGAAATTGGGCTTATTTCCAGCATCTGTCTCCAAGATAGCAAAGGAATGGTAACCTTTGTAGAGCAGAAGTAACCCAAAGTGTCTCCTTTGGGTGTCTCCTTGGAAGAAGTGGATATTGAGATCAAGAGGATACTTAACAATGTTTCTGTGGCTTCTACAAACAATTCAGGCTTTTGTGTGATGATATTTTTAACTTTAACTCCATGACAAATAGTGTGATTACACTGGGACCCAGGTACTCTTTTAATGTTCATCTGCTTTCATACATTATTGACAAAGCTGAAATGATGTCTCTAACCTTTTTCCTGTGTTGTCATTTCAGAATTCTGCTCAGGGACCACACTGACCTAACTACAGGGGGTCATTTGCGGAGTACAGGATGTAATATAGTGGTGGACACATTTCCTTGCTCAGCTTCTCCCTAAGGGAGACCTAGAAGGGCAGCTCCGGGCCCGAGCTTCTGTCAGACCCTGTCTTCTAAGCCCCTTCCCAGGTCTTTGGCCTCCATCAGTCTAATAAGTAGGTGCAGGGCTCTGCTCCTACCCTTTCACTGCTGTGGCTGCTCCTCTTCCTCATAGCCCTGCTTATCTATTCACTGTCCAGCAACACAGGTGAGAAAGGGCTTTCATGTCAGGTCTTGGAAGGTTGCCACCATTTCAAACTTCTGCTTTATGAAAAGTGGACTCGCCCATCACCACCCCATAATTATGTCTGGTACCACCTTGCTGGTTTTACAGATGGGCAACAATCTCGATCAGTGTGTCACAAAGTGAGAGCTGAGGAACAGCAGAGCTCCGGCTGTGGGTTTTTGTTCTATAGTTAACTTCCTGAGCTTGGTGTTGCACACAGCTTTTCTACTAGATATAGAAGATAACATACTCTTTAGAGTAGAACCAATTTGAATCAAAAATGTTTGTGGAGTCATTCTGGAACTAAATGTCTTCTATGTGTCTCTGTTATATTTTATCCAGTCCAGTTCTGCTGTTGTTGTCACTCACTGACTAACAAGATAGGGTGCCCCATCTTATGTGTGTACCCCATAAAATAAGTGTGATGTGGTTTATTGCACATATGAACCCTACTCACACACTCAGATTTTTAATGTCCTTTAGAAATTGACAACCTTAAGACTGGCAGAATTTTCTGAAATTTGTCAGAAATTACAAGTAAACATTATCCAACTAAAGGTTCAAATCTATTATATATTCTTTTTTGTTTTGTTTTGTTTGTTGTAGTTGGGGTCTCATTCTGTTGCCCATGCTGGAATGCAGTGGCACAATCTGGCTCACTGCAGCCATCCTTTACCTCCTGGGCTCAAGTGAGCCTCCCGCCTCAGCCTCCTGGGTAGCTGGGACTACAGGCACCTGCCACCGCAGTCAGCTATTTTAAAAAATTTTTGTAGAGATTAGGTCTTGCTATGTTGCCTAGGCTGGTCTCAAACTCCTGGGCTCAAGCAATCCTCCCACCTCAGGCTTTCAAAGTGTTGGGATTAAAGGCATGGGCCACTGCATCAGCCCTCTATTGTATATTCTTGTTTGTTTGTTTGTTTTGTTTTGTTTTGTTTGTTTGTTTTTTAAGTAAAACTAGTTCCTATCAACAGCTGAGAGTTTACATATTTTTTTCAAAGAAAACCAATGATGGTTATTTAGTTACATCTAAAATAATTTCAGTGTCCGTGAGTGTAATGTATACAGTATTAGAGGGGGGACAAAGGTAAAATAATCAGATGTTCTCTTTCATCTTTTGTTTTTCCTAATTTTCTCTTACTGATGCTTTATTACCTTCTTTGATCTACAGATCAATTCTTGGAATACCAGATTTGTATGAAATAGGCATGGCCTGTTTTCTGTGCATTTAACATATTCACTGTACTGTCCTCCCCTAAACAAAGATCCTATTTGTGTGAAGTTCTCTCATTTTTTAATACATTTTTAGAATCTTGTCAGTTTTCTGTTCATTTGGGGTTTTCTTATGGGGCTTTTGCAGTTTGTATCATTTGTGTATGGGCACAGGGGTATCTTGTCATTGTATCGTGCTAAAGTTGGTTATTAAATAGTTTGATTAAAAATTTTTCTGTTTTCTCTAAATATTTTGATGTGATGCATTTTCATTTATTTACTAGCTATTGTGCAGAAACTATTTGAACAATAAATCTGAGTGCAGAAGGAATAAAGATAAATCATGGTCTTTTAAATAACTTTGGACTTGTGCACTTGGCTGCATTTATCTGTACAAATTTATATGCATTAATAGTCTGGTGGACATGAAAGGAACTGAAAATTGTGAAATGCAGGTGAATTAGAAAGTAACACAGATTTGTACGCCCTTAGGTTAAGCAACTTTTTTGTGCATATGGGAGTCTCCCTCAAAAAATGGAATTATCTTTCGGAGGGCAGCCCTTTGCAGTACAGGCACTAAGTAAGTGTTCTAGGAACCCATCAGCATCAGTGTCCAGCTGGTGTTGTGAGAGACTGCATTTGACTCCAGTGATCTTTTTTTGGAGGTTACTTTAACATATTTGCTCATTTCATAATGGGTGGTTTATGAGCTCACCTGCCCACACTAGGCTGAGTATTCAGCAGGTTTTTGTTGTTGTTGTTGTTGTTGCTTTTACCAAAAATGGCTTGACCTCTATGCCCCACCCTCCTTATTCACCTGAGTGACTTTTTTTGTTTGTTTCCTGAGTTGAAAAAAGTTCTCAAATGGAAATGTTTTTACCAATGTGGAAAAAATGAAACAAAACAAAACAAAAAATGGCAGAATCACTAAAAAAAATCAAAATTGACAAGTTCAAAAACTGTTTTGAGCAATAGAAAAAGCACCTAGATAGATGTATTGCATCAAATGGAGAGTACTTTGAAGATGACTGAAATTTAAGCATGTAAGAATAATTACACAATTTTTAAAATAAATACAGTGTTATGGGGATTCCTTCTTCACATATACCAGAAACATATTTAAGTTTTGTAACAGAACACTTTCTGTTCCTGATTAATAAGTGTGTTATTATTGTCATTACATTGCAGGTTACATGCCTGTGAAAATTGTCAGAATGAAAGTGGAGTTGTTTGTGTGGAAAGAAGGAAGGAAAGAAGAAAGGAAGGAGGAAGGGAGGGAGGGAGGAAGGAAGGGAGGAAGGGGGAAGGAAGCCCTGACAAATAGAGCTGGGGAAGGCCTTGGACAGAGGCCTCTATGCTTGTATGCCTGTTAATAAAAACCACAACCCTTTAAAAATACCATTGCAACCTTATAGAAAAAACAATTCTGCAAGTACATCTGCCCAGCAACTGTCTTTCCAGTCTTAGGCTGGCATCATTCTTGTTTTTGATCTTTGTAGCCAAGGATAATTATTTCAACATAATTATGTAATCATCATTTTTTCTGTCTTCTGTTGACTCCTTGAATATGCACATAATTTGCCATGCTCATATTCTCTTTGCAAAGACCTATTCTCAAACATTATTTTCCTTTAGAGAACCCTTCTCTGTTTGCTATTTAGGTTGGCAAGACAAACCCAGATTCAATTTGGAGGAGTATGCTATGGCTCCGATGGAAAGACCTGCAGGTTACATTGCAGGGAGCGGAGAATATTTGGTTGTCTATGACCAGTAGCCATTGCAAGCCATTTACATCCCTGGTCATGTATGAAATCATGAGATGTGTTGCATCTAATGGACTTATTAATCGAGATTTAGTATTACGTTAAGAAAAAAACCAGTTGGACTCGGTGGCTCAGCCTGTAATCCTGCGATTTGGGAGGCTGAGGTCAGTGGATTGCCTGAGCCCGCGGGTTTGAGACTCACTTGGGCAACTTGGCGAGACCTCATCTCTACAATGAATAAACAAATTAGCCGGGTGTGGTAGCATGCACCTGTAGTTCCAGCTACTTGGAAGGCTGAGGCGGAAGGATCTCCGGAGCCCAGCAGGTGGAGGCTGCAGTGGCTGGGAGCGGCCACTGTGCTACAATCTGGGCAACAGAGTGAGACTCCAACTCAAAAAAAAAGAAAAAAAAAGAAGAAAAAAACCCAAGAAAAAAAACTTAGTTTTACATTAAGAGACTCTAAGGACAGATCCAGCAGTCATGGTCATGTTGAAATGTGTGTGCTCGTGATCATCATCCCTCTTTCACTGCAACACAATATTATAGATGCACATTTTATGGTGACTGAATATGGGAAATAGGGGTGTGTCTGTCTTCCTTTAGGTGTTTGCCCAGCTATTGTGAACACGGAGGTGAATGTACCCAGTCCTGGGACACCTTCTCCTGCAACTGCGCTCACACTGGCTACATGGGAGCGACCTGCCATTCCTGTAAGCCACATACCTTGCTGGCTCTCCTTTCTGTGCTGACCTCCATGGCATTCTATTTTCCTTTCTATTATTATTTGTACATGTGTACGTGACTGTGTAACTATGTGCCACGAGATAGCAACAGAAGACAGTAGTCTTTTAGGGACTAATTTTTATCTGGTTTATTCTTAATCAGCTTTATTTTCTAATTATGTTATGGGAGCTAACAGAAATACACAATATAGAAAGAGAAGAAAAGAGAGAGAAGAAAAGTGGGAAAAAGGAAAATAAAGCATAGAGAAATAAAATATAATAAAGAATTAAAAATAAGTCAATCAATCAGTACCATCAAGGATACATGATATAATAACTCATTCTGTTCCTCACATTGGGCTCCATTGTAGCTCTCAAGTCCTGTCTGCCCAAATAAAGATCATGAGTTACCAGATTCCCAATATTTTTAAAATTAAATGAGGAAAGTCTCAGAAGTATTGGGGGGCTAGAACATGGAAGGGGTCCTAGATGTTAGGAGAAACCAAAGAAAATGTTCTAGTCCCTCCTCCCATAGATGTGGTGTGATGGGGATGATGAGGAGAGGGGCTGGCACACAGTGAGAGTAGACCAGATGACTGCACTCTTCTAGTGCTCTGCCTGGCTTATCTTTGTTAGCCCTCAAAACAGCCCTGAGTTGTGAGTGTCATTATTATCTTCACTTTACACTTGAGGAAGGAGGAAGGCTAAGTCTTTTGCCCATGATCTAGCAGCTCTGATCCCAAGGGTCTGGCTCTAGAACAGGGACTGTCAACCACCACCTAGTAACATCTCTTTTATCTTAAACACCATGTCTCTTTTCTGAAGCACTATTCTATCAGTTTTAAAGCTAACAAAACCTTATTGACCACTATTTGTTAGTTACTGGAAGCATATGACAGAGCTCCTGAAATCTTCATGGTTTTCTGATTACAGTTGTTCCTTGGTATCTACGGAGAATTGATTTCTTGACCCACCCCTACAGATGCAAAAAAATCCTGATGTGAAATGTAGTATTTGCATATGTCCTATTTACATTCTCCTGAATACTTTAAATCATTTCTAGGTTATTTGTGATACCTGATACGATGTAAATGCCATGCAAATAGTTGTTATACTATGTATTATTAAAAATGTGCATTATTTTTGTTTTATTGTTGTTTTTATTGTTTTTCTTTTCCCAAATATTTTTGAGCCATGGTTGGTTCATTCCCTGCATGTGAAAACTATGAATATGGAGGCCTGACTCCATTAGTTTTTCTTTATGTTTTTGTTTTAGTTTTCCCGCATTTAAGTATCACTACTGATATTTCTGAGAACCCTCTTTCATAGTGCCTCCTCTCTCCCTGAGCATTTAGAGCGAAAAGTCATTGATTCTGCCTCACTAAGTCCTTCCCACTGGAGGAATACATTGAACCTTTAAGAATTCTTCCCTGTGAACTATTTAATTTTATTTCCACATAAATTGTGAGAGAAAGGCAGAGTATGGATTGTTACCAATCCAACTTGAAGGAAACTGAGTCTCAGGGAAGCTGGTGTTTGGTGTTGAGCTGAAACACCTGAGTCCTCTGACATGGGGGTTCTGCAGAGTAGCCCCTAAATACCTCCTAGGTTCATCCTGAAGACTTCCACTTGCATCTCTGTTTACTTCTCAGTGTCAAGTAAGAATTCGCTAAGGTAACTCCTCCTTTGAAAGGGCAAAACATCTTGGAAACCTGAGGCTAAGGACTAGCCAAATTCATGGTGTTAGCCTGAGACAGTCCCTTTTCCTTAGAATGTCTCCATCATGCCTAATAGGGTGTCTTAGACAAAGTAGATACCTAATAAATATTAATGGTTAATGAATGATTGCTAAGATGTTGTCTGTAACCATGATCTAAACATAATTGCAAGCAACATAGAGAAAAAAAATTAACAGATGTATATAAAGGGTGTTTGACCTGTGGCCCACAATTGATCTATTAACTGAATAGATCTTATTGTAATTCCTCAAAGGATAAACAAAAGAAAGTGGCATATTGCCAGATCAACAGTAGGTAGGTAGTCATGAGGTCATTATTTTTTGGTGGTGTGCAGCACAGTGATTGGGGTTGTAAGTATACAATTAATGCATGAGTGTATTTGCATTTAAAACAAATTCCCTCCTAATTATTCCTCCTCCACCGGTTCCCTAGGCATTTCCAGCCTCAACCCTAGTATAGCCACTGCTGTCAATGTGTGTGTATCCCTCTGGATGTTTTTATAAGGCAGTTATGAGCATGACTGCATGTTTATAGACATGTAAATGTGTGCAGCCAAAATGCAAGCGTGGTGGGAAAGCAATCCCTGTTATCTGTCTGTTCATTCGATGGTAACAGTTGTGTTCATATCGGACACATGGTCATATTTAACAAAGACATGGTTTTTTTGGTAATATTCCTGAGCTAAACAAAAATTATTTGAGCTTCTTATTCTGTGAGATGAAAGAAAATTTGTAGAATTCTCCCTGGGTTTTTCTTAACTAGTGAATGAGTTAGGCAAAGTTTTAAAATGTAGATAATCCCGTCAAGGTATCATGAATTCATATCCTTTTTGCCCCTACTAGGATCACTCCACTATGTATGTCCTGCTTACTCACCACCTAAGTCTATCTAAACGGACGCCAAACCTGATCCTCAGGACTGGCTCTGTGATTCCATCCAGCACTGCAGGATCAGCCCTGCACATCATTCCCAGCAGTCTTTAGCTACTTTTGAGGATTTTCAAAGGGTTTTTCCTCTCATGGCAATATATGATTCACATAAGAGATGTTACTTGGTTGAGTGCTCATTTAAACTTATTCTGAATATAAATGAAGTCCATCATCTCCAGATGGTAATCACTTGCCAATGTACATAGCAAACTATTTATTGTACAAAAAAAGTCTATTATGAATCAGGATGAATTGAAATTACAAAAATATGCATTATATATTTATTTCTTTGAATTTCAATTTCTTGAATTATCATTAGCAAAGTAAGGAAGTTCCTTTTTAAAAAAAACACTTAAAAACTGAATGAAGAAGAGTTGCTGATTTGAAAGATTCACATCATAGAAAAATATATTTTACATGTAAATTGTTTCAAGTAAACAAAGGATATCATTACTGAGTAAATTTCTAAAAATAACACTGATTAATAGATAATATCAGATCATTTAGGGAAACTAAACCAGTTCACTTCCAATACTTAGACTTTACAAAGCAGAACAATAACTAGTCTAAGTGTCCATGGTTTTGAAAAGAATCTTATGTTTCTAGGACATATAGGATTCAGATCCACAGGTTTTACGGTGATATATCATATCTTAAAATCTTTCAATATATACTTCAGAACTTTCACACTGCCTGATTCAAACAGAAGAACACTTACCTAGACGAGATATAACTAAGGGTGTTATAGAATCAGTGTCACTTGGGAGAGGTATCACATAATTGACAATATGGAGCAATTCCATTGTAACCCTTTTTGATGATATGTGGTCTTTGCAGCTGTCTATGAGCAGTCATGTGAAGCCTATAAGCACAGAGGGAACTCTTCAGGGCTCTACTATATTGACTCAGATGGAAGTGGTCCACTGGGACCAACTCTTGTATACTGCAATATGACAGGTATGTTAATAAGCTTTTCTATAATACTTACATTCCTTTAAATGTTTGCTGTGTGCAAAATCAAAATGAGGAAAGTAGCAAGTTTTTCCTAGTTGGCAGCTTTATTTAGATGTGCGTTGTGATTGTGATTCTAATGTCACTAAGAAGTATTAAATGATGTTATAAGACAGTTAAAAGGCAGTTAAAAGACAGTTAAAAGGCAGTATGTAGAAATTATGTTACTATTTTCTGGAAATGATCATTCTTTGTGGAACAATTATGAATAAATCTTTGCTTATTCATCTAACTTTAACATTTATCCATAAATGTTAAAGACTGAAGGATATTCACTTTTTAAATTTACAAAGACGTTTCTTTTGTATTCTTTTTACATTTTTAATATTTTGCCTTGTTCTCCAACTTTATTGAGGCAACATTGAAAAATAAAAATCATATATATTTAAGATGTACAACATGATATTTTGGTATACATATCCATTTTACCACAATAAAGCTAATTAGCATATATATCATCTCTCATACACAATATAGTATTAATTGTAGTCACTATGCTGTACATTAGATTTCTGGGACTTATTCATTCTTCATGTATGAAACTTTGTACCCTTTGACCAACATGTCCCCATTTCCCTAACCCACCAGCTCCTATTAACCACATTCTATTCTCTCCTTCTAAGAGTTTAAGTTTTTTAGATTTCATATAAGCACATGAATGTATCTAGAAGATAATAAGTGTTTCTAAAAGCATACATACTTCATGCGCAACTATGAATAAATAATTTTGCATTTTCCTAGAAAACCAATTATACAATATCATGTATGGTAGATAGCAATAGATATGTCATATACGAGTCTTTTACTACTTTGGTCCTTTTTTATTTGACAGCTGCTCCTCCAAGAATAGGAACTCAAAAAGACCAAAAAACATCAAGCATAATGAGTGATGCTACCCTGATTTAATTTAAGTTTTCTATATGTCCACATATGTAGGGCTGTCAGTTCCTTTGTATCTGTGTCTATGTGTGTGTCTGGATCCACAGGCTGTCCTCCATATCAACATAACATTTGCATCAACAAAGAGGACACAACCCTCCTTTAGATAGCTGTTTCTGTTTTCCTCTAGTGGTGTAGATGTAACAAGTACTGCAAAAACTGCAGAATTTGACTCTGGAGATTCTGAGTAAATGTTCAGGAAAAAAAACTGTAGATGGTACTATGGTAATTATAATTAGCTGTAATTTGATTTATCTTTTATTATGGCTATATACATCATCCTGGTAGGGTAGCAATTTCCACAAGAAGGACATTTGTTATTTATTTATTGGTATATAATAGTACATATTTTGGGATACATGTGATATTTTAATATCTGTATGTAATGTTTAATGATCTAACCAGAGTAATTGGGATATTCATCACTTTTTTGTATTGGGAATATTACAGTTTTTCTCCTAGCTATTTTGAGATATACAGTAAATTATTATTGACTGTAATTAAAAGAAGAAAATTATATATAGGTAAATTTATGATAAGGGTTTATGGGTAACTTTAAAAATCCTGATGCCTACTACCACTTCCAAACATAAAACAAAATGTGAGCCCTTTGGCAGTGGTTAGTCATATGATTTAATCGAAATTAAATCAAATACATCTGCCAGACTGAAAACTGTACCAGTGAAGTGTGCGAGCTCTCAGGGTATTGCACTAGATGGGGGCACAACTCTTTTGAGATTTTTGACCAGCATTTTATTACAAAAACTGACCAAAATATTGCAGTATAGCTTGTCTTTACTGAAAGATTTGTAATCAATACAATAGGTGAAGAAACAGTCAAGGAGCGTTTTCTAGATATTCTCAGTTCCTGTGGTTATAATAGGCCTTCAAGTTACCCTGTTTGAACTTGGTTTTTACTTCATTACCATGGGTCAAGCAAAGGCCAAGAGCAATGGAAGTTAAAGAACAGATCCTGGCTTCTCAATGATACATTTTCCTTTTATCAGTTAGGTGCTTAATTACCGCAGAAGTCTAGTGCATACTAAGCATTTAAATAATTTTGTCTGAAATTCAGTGTCCTATACACTGAAAAAATCTGAGATCCATGGAAAAGTAGCAATGATCCCAGCTGACTTGGTTCATGATAAATACAGTTTTGGTGTCTAGTTGGGCGTGGTGGCTCATGCCTGTAATTCTAGCACTTTGAAAGGTGGAGACAAGAGGATTGCCTAAGCACAGGGGTTCGAGACCAGTCTGGACAACTTGACAAGACCTCATCTCCACAATAAATTTAAAAAATAATTGGCTGGGTGTGGTGGCATGCACCTGTAGTTCCAGCTACTTAGAAGGCTGAGGCAGAAGGATCACCTGAACCCAGTGGGTCAACACTGGGCGGGCCGTGAGTGTGTCACTGCACCCCAGCTGGGCAACAGTGAGATTCCAACTAAAAAAAAAATAAAAAAAAAGTTTTGGTGTCTGAAGCCATTTGTTGATAATTAATTGTTGACTGGTTTGGTAAGACCCAAGTCAAGTTTCAAAGAAAGACATTTGCTGCCAAGAGGAAGGACTAAGCACGGACTTCCTGCCTGTCTGTAGTTCATGGTTGTAATAAAAGGACAATGTTTTTAAATCCCCTTTGGAATGTACAACTAGGTCAAAGACATTTTCTTTCAATGCTTAGTCATTCAGAGAGTACTAATTGATACTATAACTGATGTGTTTAAATTCTTTGTAAATTGCTGTTACCCTTCCAAGACTGAAGCTTGGCACCCACTGCCAGAGGATAGAACATTCCAAATGCTAAGAGGTATAAAGACATACATGCACTGCATCTGATTTCAACTAACTTTGGCTAATGCCTGATGATATACAGGCAGACTTTTCTTGCCTTAAAGGCAATAAAGAGCCTCTACATATGGGAGAAAAAAGGCAAAACCTTCCCAGTCATTTTGTTCACATGGGTGATGGCCTTGAAAACTGTCTGGTGGGGGTGACTTGAAGAAATGTCTAAGCACGATATTGAAAAGTTGCAGTAAGCCGGACTCGGTGGCTCAGCCTGTAATCCCGCGCCTTTGGGAGGCTGAGGTGAGTGGATTGCCTGAGCCCGTGAGTTCGAGACCCACCTGGGCAGCGAGACCTCATCTCTACAATAAATCAAAAAATCAGCCGGGCGTGGTAGCGCATGCCTGTAATTCCGGCTACTTGGAAGGCTGAGGTGGAAGGATCGCCGGAGTCCAGCAGTTTGAGGCTGCGGTGACTGGGAGTGGCCATTGCACTCCAGTCTGGGCGACAGAGTGAGACTCTAACTCAAAAAAAAAAAAAGAAAAAGAAAAAAGAAAAGTTGCAGTAAAGCTTCTAATATTTCACATGGGTGTGCTCAGCCCCTACCGTGTACTGGAGTAAAAAGCAGAACAACATTTCTGCTCTGGGGAGTGAGCATTTTTAGATGGGAAATTAGACCATCAACAGTGTCAGTTAATCACATCTATAGTGTGTTGGAAGGCAGCAAGGAAAGAGAATAAGACCTCGGATGAGGAATTACAATTTTGAACAGAGGCGTCAGGAAAGGACTCAATTGGAAGGTTGCATTAGAGCCAACTTCATAGAAGAAATCAACCCTGAAAAAACCTGTGTGGCCAGGAAGCAGAGGGAATAAATGAGTGCAAAAGCCCTGGGCTCACGGGGAGCCTGGTGTGTTGGGCAGGCAGGGTGGACTCCCAGAAGGTGAGTCTTTCCCAAGTCACATCACTGGGAAGTGGCAGATCCAGGACTCACACCAACAGTGTGGGTCATAACCACCATGCTATGCCTCTCCCCCAAAGAGGCAAGCTAGGAAATGGTTGTAGTAGTTGAGCTCAAGACAGTATGGTAAAGACTAGGGCTGGAGCAGAGAAGGACGTGAGAAGTGCTGGAGTTAAAATTGGATTAGGTGTAGATGAGAAGAGAGGAGTCAAGAATGACCTGATTGCTTTGATCTGAGACCTGGGCAGATACAGATACCTTCAGTGGAGATAGAGAATGCTTGGGAAGGAGCATATTTGAAACGGAAGACCAGAATTCTGGTTGTGAATATATGAAGCTTGGGTTACTATTGGTTATCTATTTAGACATTGAGTAACTATTGATTATAAAACCGTGTGACATGTAATCTTAAAGCCCACAGTGGAGTCATAACATCCTTGGCAGTGAGAATTTTTAAAAATATATTTTAGAATGTGACTTCAATAAATTCACCCAGACCAACTGGCTCCCGTTGCTTTCCTCGTCACTGGTGGGCACTGTCCTGATGGCCGAGATAACACTGCTGCTCGTGGTTCTCAGTGCGTGTCCCCTGAAGGGGAGCTCTGCTTTCAGCAGATAGGTTCTGGGATAGCATCCTAAGAGAATCTATTTGTATTCAGTTTTCCGAGAGATTCTGAAGTGCATACGTGTTTAGAAACCACTGTGCTGGTACTGAGGAACCTGAATTTTAGTGTGTACAGCCTACCCTACTGATACAAAAATTAAAATGGAAAGGTAGCACAGGCCATCACAGAACAGGAAAATAAAAATAAAATGTATGTAGATAGAAAGCCTTGGTTTAACTACAAATGCTCCTTGAACAACGGCTCTGCCCCAACTCTCTTCCCTGCACTGGGGATGCCGACCCTTGACCTACACAATGAAAAATCTACGTGTAATTTTTGACTCTCCCAAAACCTACTATCAATAGCCTGCTATTGACTGGAAGTCTAGTGTGCTAATATAAACATTCAATTAACATATACTCTATGTTATATGTATTATATACTGAATTTTTACAATAAAATAAGCTAGAGAGAAGAAAATATTATTAAGAAAAACATAAGGATGAGAAAATATATATACTATTCAGTAAGTAGAAGTGGATTATTGTGAGGTCTTCATTCTTGTTGTCTTCACGTGGTATAGGCTGAGGAAGAGGAAGAGTTGATCTTGCTGTCTTAGGGGTCTCAGAGGCAGAAGAGGTAGAGGTGGCAGGGGAGATG